ATCTATAATTATTAAGGGATATTATTACGGTTTTTATAAGAGAGATAAAGATAATATATTAAAGGTTATAATCCTTTAACAAATTAAATTCTGTAAAATAAAAGGAATTAAAGGCTATAATAGCTATATAAATAATTAGAGGCTTTAAAGTTATTAATTAAAGTATTTAAAGTCCCTTTAACTTAGAATTACTTAATTTCTTAAAAACTATTTCTAAATATAAAGGTTATTTAAATAGTTAAAGGCCTTTACTATTTAAGATTATTATTCTTTTAAATATATCTCTTTATTTAATTCTTTCTTATTTAACCTATTTAGCTTTTATATAAATTAAAATATTCTAAAGAAATTAATAAATAAAACGAATAAAAGAATAATTATTATTAATATTTATAAATATTAATAAATATTTTTATATTATTATAAAACGATAACGATAAATATATCTAGAGTAGTAATTAATACCTTTTACTATATAATACTTCTTACCTTTATATTAATAGAAGGAATATAATAGTATATTATAATTATAAAGCTTAATAAAAATAAATTATTCTTATCGCTTCTAAGTAAATAGGGATTATAGCTTTTTAATATAACTCGATATTTTATTAATATTATAAAAAAGGAAATTAAAGGATATAATTCCCTAAAATATAGCGTTTATAAGTAAGGTCGCTAAGATATCGACTTAGAGGAGGAGAATTATATAACGCCCTATTTAAGTCGTTGCTAAGATACTAAGTAAGATACCCTATATATAGTTAGATATATTATATAGATTAATAGGATTAGTTACGTAACTATAATTAGATTACGATACTTAAATTAATCCTATTACTACCTTAATTATAGCCTACAATAATAAAGTTATAATAATAATAATAAGCTATCTAATATAGCCTTATCATTTAATTCACTTAAGATAAATAGATAGGTATAAAAGGATAGATATTCTTATATTTATAGATATACTCTTTCTTATAATAGTAATTAATCTAAGTCTTACTTTATATTTATTATAACGAGTACGTAACGCCTTATAATACTATATCGCCTTAGAGTTATACCCTAAGCTTCTACTAATAGTAACCCTAACCCTCTAATAGTGTTCCTCTCTTCGTATGCTGCTAGGTCGTAATACTGCTTCCCCTAATCGAGGCTCTTAGCCTCATACCTTTATAGTATAAGGGTATTAGCCTAGAGACAGATAGCAATAGATATCTAACCTTTATAATACCCTCAATATTGGGGGCACCCGTGGGAAGGCGCTCCGGCCCTAGGCTCCTAGCGGACTTGTACTCTGCCAGAGTCCTAGGGCTGGAGCACTCCACTCCTAGATAAGGGTATCGGCCTAAACACTAATAGCCTTAGATAGTCACCATTTATAATACTCATACGTACCCCCAAGTGAGGTCCAACACTTAATATGCCCCCTAAGCGAGGTCCTAACACACCTACTATATAGTATACCTTTAGCCTAGGGCTCCTAGTGGACTTAGGCTCTACTAGAGTCCTAGGGCCGTAGCACTCCACTCTATTCATAATGTGATTAACCTAGAGACTAATAGTACTGGAAAGCTACCCGTTTATAATACTTTATTATACCCCTAAGCTAAGGTCCTTATATTAATTCTTATTTCTTAATTTTATTATATAATTACTTAAAAAATAAAGTATTTCTCAGTATCTAATATTTAACTTCTTATATTAATAAGTTCTTAGTTATTAATTAATCTATAAGTAATATTTAGTTAGCTCTATTATATTATTATAGTGCTCGTACACACTTATTATATTTCTGAGGTGACCCAGACATGTCATCCGCCTGAGGTAATTCAATGGGTCCATTTCAGCCTTCTCTCGCCTGATGTAACGGCTTTCGATGTTTACTTACGAATGGAAAAATCCTCAAACAACATGGCAGATCAGGCCTATTTAGATGATGGTGTCCCCATCAGTGGTAGCTTCCATGACAGCATCATCATTGAAGCCGACAGTGCCAGTATGCTTAGTCGAACACAGCCTGTCTTTCCACCTCTTCGGAACGACGACATTGCCGACTCGCCGTCTACAGATGCACAGCTGCCGCCTGTAGCCGGTATCGACGACAATGATGACAATGAGCCTGCAATAGCCAAACCCTTCGCCCGAGCCAACAGCCCTGAGCCCGCCGGTCGAGGCCCCGCCCTGGACGACAAAACACACGAACGTCTATTGTATAAGATGCATAAGTTCAGCCTTTACGAGACGACCAGTCGTTACTACATTGTGGGTGGTGATGTAACGGAGCGACGATATCGCATCCTTAAAATCGACAGGACTACCGAAGATTCCGACCTGAGTATCACGGACGACAAAATTGTATATAGTCAACGAGAGATGAACCAACTTCTCGACACTATCGACGATGGCAATAAAGGCAACGGAGGTATCAAGCTGCGTTGTACGACATGGGGCTTGCTTGGATTCATTAAATTCACGGGCCCTTACTACATGCTCTTGATCACCAAGAAAAGCACTGTTGCCATGATAGGGGGCCACTATGTGTACCAGATCGATGGAACTGAGCTCGTGCCACTCACCCCCGCTCGATTCAAAACTGATGTGCGCAATACTGAAGAGTCGCGGTTCCTGGCCATTCTGAACAACCTGGATTTGACTAGATCATTCTACTATAGCTACTCGTACGATATCACGCGGACGCTGCAGCATAATATGGCTCGAGAGCGGGAGGCACTCGCAAAAGGGCTATCTTGTACCCCTGATGATGACTTCAATGCTATGTTTGTTTGGAACAGCCACCTTCTGCAACCTATTGTGCAAGCTCTCAAGGATCCCTTCGACTGGTGCCGCCCTATCATACATGGCTATATTGACCAAGCAGGTAAGTGACGACCTTCGACTACCATCGCGCTAATCTCATCACAAATCCGCTTCCAGCACTTTCGATATATGGACGGACGGCGCATATCACCATCATAGCACGGCGGTCCCGATTTTTTGCTGGTGCCCGTTTTCTTAAGCGCGGCGCGAACGATTTGGTAAGCCCTTCGACTTGGAATTGGACTGAGCCCCTGAACTGATGTGCATGACAGGGTTACGTAGCCAACGACGTCGAGACGGAGCAGATCGTTTCCGAGGCTCTAACCACGTCTTTCCATGCTCCAGGACCGCGGCTCTATGCAAGCCCTCAGTACACATCGTATGTGCAACACCGTGGAAGTATACCCTTGTACTGGACCCAAGACAATACAGGCGTTACTCCGAAGCCTCCCATCGAACTGAACTTGGTGGATCCTTTTTATGGCGCAGCAGCGCTTCACTTCAACAATCTGTTCGAACGCTACGGCGCCCCCATATACGTATTGAACCTAGTCAAAGCCCGCGAACGTACGCCACGAGAATCCCAAGCTGTTGGTCGAGGTTTACCAATGCCATCA